ATTTTATTTCTAACCAGTCTTCTATAGCATCCTTCAAGAAATCCAAGATTGCCCACAGTAGCGATGTAGGCACACAGTTCTCACATCCAGCTGAAGACAGTCCCATTCAGTGGCAGAGGGCTCTGTGCAGTGCTTAATGTGCCACTCCGCGCTCTCACAGGGCTCTGCTCTCAGTGTGCAGCGGTTCTGAGCCAGCAGGAGCACCATCAGAAAGTTGGACAGACACCAACACCCTCACGGACCGCCCTTCCAGAATAAGCAGGAACAGGAGCATTTGATCACATCAATCAAATCTTTCCAAAAGAAAAACTCATTTTCTCCCCCCTCGCAAACCTGTGACATTTGTCTACCCACTCACAGAGGGTCTCTATTTTTGAAAACACAGGGTAAATCATTCCCAGAAAAGATTTTAAGCTACTGGATTTTCCCTGCTTTCCTCTAGGCCAATTCAAAAATCTTCAGTATGTTCCACATCAGTAGCTTCTTTCAGGTTTTCCACTTACAGAAATCAAAAAGGTGGAACTCGACCTAGGCAGACTGTTTCTGTTATTTATCTGTGCCTTTTCATGCAAACATAACCAAGTGTTTAGTGGGAAGCCATTTCTGGTAGCTCTAAACACAAGCTGCTGCTGCTGCCCCAGACAGGCAGGAAGAATTGCTGGGGAAGAATTCAGCACAGGGCTTTTCTTTACCACCTCTGCACTGACTGCTTTGCTGCTGCCAAACGGAAAAGGGAGGCACAAATTGATATCTAACTGCTACCACTAACAAGGATTTGCACAAGAGTTTCCTCATGCTCAGGCTCGTCAAGGCCTGACCTGTAGCTCTGTACCAGAGGGACAGGCAATCTAAAACCACCCTGCATGAGCCCTTGCAGGCAGATAGGAACCTGCTGGCTCAGCGAGTGGTGGGGAAGAATTGCAGGCATACCTGGAAGGCCCCTTAGGCCATGGTATTTCCAGTGAAAAGGGGCAAGCGGAAAAAGGACTCCATGCTCTCCTCTGTGGGTTATCCTCACCACGGGGCTGTCAGGTCACACTGAATTCACCTTTGAAGCTTGAGCCCTAGAGCTTAGCTCAAATCATTCTTTGGTGGGTTCTAATAAAGTAATCCTTAAGAGACTCCCTCAGAAAGAGACCCTTTTACATATGGATGCTCAGGGCAAATCTCCCACATCTCTGGCTAAAATCTCACAGCAAATGACACTTTCTGTGGGGCAAGGTACCAAAAAAAGAGATGGGGCTTTTTCCTATCAACCCACTTACTTCAGACCCACAACTACCACGATCATGGTACAGCTGCCCCGTTTTAATGGCACTACAACTGTTTTAATCACTTTAAAATACATTTCTGTCTGGAATTGCCCACATGGAAGATAAACTCTGAAAGTGTCACTAAGACCCAGAGAGGTTATTATCTGTGATGGTGTAATTAAATACTATATTATAAAGGGTACATAAAGTAAAATTGAACTGAGGGGGTTTAGGAAGTTTATGACTTGATTATCTCCTCACAGCTGAATATTTGACCTTGAAACTGTAGCATTTCTTTACCAGAGTTTCCACATGTAATATTAATAGGAAACTTCAGTGGCTTCAGTCACTTGTCAAGGATCCCCAGTGACCATATCCCTTGTTGTCTTTCTGCTTTATTACATGTGGCAAGCATGAGAGAGATGAATAGAGTGAATGAGAATTTGATTGCTTTGAAAAGAAAGATGTACATCTCCTGTATAAATTTCATGTTCAAATTCATAGGGAATCATTTTTAGGGTATTTGGCTCTTAACCCAAACAAGACAATAATGGAAGTGTTAAGGAGGAATGTCATAGATAATTATTTTAAAGTTAATTAATATGTAATTAATTTCCAGTCTCAGGCAGGATGAGACAGGACACAATGGGATGGAGCCATGCTGGGGAACAGGGCTCAGCCCTGTGATTGCTGCAGCAGCCATGAGGGTCCCCAGTTCCAGTGTAGGTGATATTTTTAGGCTGCCTATTTCTGCAGCCACAACAGTCACAATACATGACACGTGGCCTCTCCTGGACCAAAGTCAGCCTTGGAACCTTCAGGTTTCTGAAAGACTTGGTAAATTACAAGCAAATCTTTCTGTGCTTGCTGTGTGCTTTTAGAGAAAGCTGGAAAGTGCATTCACAGCTACACTGCCTCCAATCCTCCCAGCCTTCTAACACCTTCTTGTATAAGCAATGGACATCTGCTCTGCATAACTACTCCAACTCCTGGACCTCAACAACTTCCAGCACAAAGGCATGCAGACTACCATCAATGACAAGAGGTGGGTTTCTGGAAACTCTCCTCTGCTAGGGACCACTAGTTTTGTTTCAAAGCAATGAGTTCTCCCCTCTGCCTGATGACTCAAGGTGTTTCAGTTGGAAAAGATGCATTGAAAACCTCAGCAAACAGAGAGTGAGCAATAATTTCATAATAATAAAATTAACCAGCATTTGCAAAAATACTTGCCTCATTTATACATTAATTACAAGGCAAAAACTGCTCTGGAATTATCACTTCTTGTAGGGTACTGCCTTAACTTGATAGATATGAGAACAAAGCAGCTATTTTTGTTATCATCAAAGAAAACCTCATACATCCTTCAACCCATTCGTATTTCAGAGCCCACTTGAAGCAGGGCAGCAGCTGTGGCTGCTCCTCACAGTCAGCTGGAAACAAGGATGATGAATTGTGTGTTTGCCTGCCTGTCTCCCCCCTCCTCCAAAAGCCAATCTCTTGGACAAGGCTTGATGCTAACAGGAATGCACAGGACCACCTGCTCTCCCTGGGCTACATAATGTGATCTCTGAGCCCAGATGCAGCTGAACATTTAGCAAATCTGACTTCAGAGGAGGCAGCTAAGGCCAGCAGGGTGTCATGGAGCAGGCTGTGGAAGAGGGTCATTTATTTCCCAGTTGCCAGACTGCTGCAGGTCTCTTCAAAATGTGCCTTTTGCCTTTCTGCTTACCAAACATCAAAGATTAAATGCTGCTATACACTATCCGGCAACCCCTCTGGCTCAGACCAATTTGCTTAGAGGAGCTTGGGAAGCAGCAGCCACAGCAGGGAAGGTGCTGGCAGTGTGACTAGGAAGCCTCTGGCTTCTTTGCAAAGCTGCCCTTCTCTAGGCTCCAGAGTGATTCAATCAAGCTGGCAGGTCAGTTCACAGGACAGATTTTCCCAACTATGCCTAAATTCTGTTCACACTTAGCAGTTTTGGAGACCTCTCACCCACTGTCACACCAACGCTTTGCAATTCGTGTTCACAGGCTGCTGTTGCTGAATGGCTGCAGAAGGAAAAATCACCCAGGAACCAAGCTTATAGGCCAAACTAAGTCACATCTCTGTAATAAACAATTTTTCAACACAACTGCCTAATTTCTTCCCAAATAAAAGAAAATGTTCATTTTATAGCTGCCTCTTGTTTCCTGCTTTGTACCTAATTGTCAGCCCAGTGAGCCAACTCTCCACTTACTCCATTACTCTGCATCACAAACACTGCACTCTGATATGAAATATTGCCAAGTGCTCTGAAAATCTATTGCACTCCCCTTCTACACCATAACATTAATGTAGGGGGTTGTTTGAGGATATTAATGAGTTATGACCTTTCTTCCTACTACTGCACTTTCCTGCCTTCTGCCCTTGCCTCAAAGTTGGCTTCCCGTCACTTGTTTATTCCTCCCTTGAGTTAAGAACACATTGAACTAATTTATTCATCATTTTAATTACAAATTCACACCTCTAGTCTTCGCAAATGCTTGTACTTTCCAATCATTAAGGTTTTCTTTCAAATAACAGAAAGTAGCAAGCACTGCTCCTGCAACCAAAGTTATAGCTGCAAACTACATAGTCATTACATCCTGTAATAAAAACATACAAGGATTTGTCTGATTGAAACTGGTGAATAAAATGTAACTTTCAGCATGTGTCAGAATGGATAACCTAAGCAAAAGCAGAGAAAACTCTGCTATGAACTTGGTTCTCAGAACGGTCTCAGGAACAGCTAAATTGCCAAACATTTTGTTAGTGCACCTTCATTTAAAAACAAAAGCGAATTCTGAATGTGGATGGAACCAATTTCTACTTGCAGTCCAGCTTAAATCAACCAGGCATTCCCTTTTAGTCTTACATCCTCACACTTGGGTATGAGATGCAGCAGTAAGAGGCTGGTGGCAAGAGGCAAAACACTGGCAGGAGCCAACTTGTCAATACAGACAGGGTAAGATAGGGACAGACAGCATCTTGAGCTGGGCCAGAGGAGCCACATACATCTCTCCCCTGCCCAGTCCCAGTCAGACCCAGCAGAGCTTCAACAAGGCTTTGCTGCACCCTGATGAATCTAGGAGTAGACGCTGTACGTGCACACATCAGGACTGAAAAGGCCACATGACACTCCTGAAATGAGATGCCTTCTTTAATCAGAGGACACAAAGGCAGCTGAGAAGCTACTTCTGCCATATTTGAAGCACGGTATTCCTGCACACAACTGCCATGCTAGGCCCAGCAGCCTGGATGATCACAAAACAAAGCTATTTTAGGGGGCATTTGCATAAGCCGCAATGCAGAAGGTTTTCTTGCCCTTAGTGATGGCCCACTTCCGCATCCTCACATCAGGGCTGGGAATTTAGCTTACTCCCTCAGACCCGAAGCAAGCAGGGTACAGGGCAGCAGGACTGCGGGCCAAAGCTGAGTGCACCCTGCGGTAAGGATTTGAGGTATTTTGTTAGGTAAATAAGAGCAGAGGAGGGAAGGTAGCAGGAGGCAATTTTAGTGCAAGGCTGGTTGTAGAGGCTGCATTCAGGAAGAAATAGATGAGGTGAGGAACAGCACATAAAAAATGTGGAAAAGGGGGAGGGGGAAAGAAAAAAAGCATATGAGGTAATGTATAGTCAATGAATATAAAAATGTTATAGCTATGAAATAAACAAGAGAGCTTAGCAGAGCAGATTGTAATAACAAAAAGAGAAGAGACAGAAAGCTTACCTGTGTCCTGTGCTCACTGCAGAACTCCAGAGGAGGGATCTCCAGAAGAGCTCCTTCCCCACTGGCAGTCAGCTCTTAAATGGGCCTTAGGAGAGGTGCAGCCAGGCTCCACCCTTCCGGCAGCACAGGAGAATTGCCTTCACCTGTGCTCCATGGCTGACTCAGCGCTCGCCTCAGGCGATCAATCAGAGGTTCAGGCCGTCGTTCAGCTGTTCCCATACAGGTGGTTTCCGCTGCTTTGTAGTAGTATTGCAGCCTGGACATTCCATCTCAGTCTTGTAAAAACACTCATGTAGATCAGCACAAATCCTCATGGTTTGTCTAATCTGAGCAACGACCTACACGTCCGTCAAGCTGCACAAAACCCAATAGGCAGCAGCCACTCCTCACACAGGATGCCATCAAGAAAGTGACCAGAGCTGCATCCGCTCTCTCATTCTGCAGCAAAGCACCACCGAGGCCAGTGGCAGGACTCTGCCAAGCCTACGTACTGGCCCCAGGGTACCATCCTGGCAGACCTCAGAGGCTGTGAGGTGCTACTGTGGTGGGGGGACTGCGATAGCAGGAAACTGAGCACGGTACACCTGGCTGAGGCCCGGGAAGAGCTGGACCAATGTTCCTCTCACTTCTGTAGCTGCTGTTTCGAGCCCTGTCACCTGAGGCCTAGTGCCCAACCCCACCTGAGCCTGCAGACTGCCCAGTACTGCAAGGATGCACTGATCTTCTCTGCATGAAATAAACTGAAATGTATGCTCTGTATATGCATATATGCTACATATATTATGCATATGTACAATTTTTCTCACATTGTCTGTCTCTCAAAACTGAACAAAGCACCCCAGAAACCTTCACCATCAGGAAAAATTCTTACAGCGTCACACAGACTGACAAAGTATAATGCTCATCCCATGTTAAACACCGTATCTGAGGTTCAGAATTTTTTTCCATGCTTTCTTCTTCCTCTACCTCAGAATTATTGCCAAATAGGAAAGGAAGAGGGGAAAAAAAAAAAAAAAAGCTGCTGTTTCCCTGGTACCTGGCTTAGTCACAGCAGGAATTTACACAAATGTCTTTAGAAAACCACAGCTCCACTTCTTGAGCATGATTTTCAGACTGGAGGTGGCCTGTGTTAGAGTCATGGTCCTGTCTAAGTCAATTGTTCAAGGGTCACAATTCCAGTCTTGGGCTTTTACACATCATCAGCCACATTGTGTCCAGCTTCTGACTATTCACTGACTAGGTCTAATTTCTGCTGCTTTCCTTCCCTTTTTGCCTGCTGTATGTTGAAGTCTGATTTAAAAAATAGCTCTTCTCTTTTGTGTCATTCACTTATGAAATCAGGGAGGAGGAGGGCAGAAACAGAATAAAGCATTCCCTAACCAATTTGAACTAAAAGAAAGGCTGCAAAAATTATCACTTTCGAGCTTCCTGAGAAAGATAACAGCTTATCAATTACCAGCATGTTTCTACATACATATACACTTCTTCTGCCCTTAGGTCAAGTTACAAGAATAAAACTTTATCTTCTGGTTTTCCTTTTCACTGAAAATTGTTACATTCAGGACTGATGGGAATTTGTGAAGCCCCGCTGTCTGATGACCATCAGAAGTAGAGTTAATAACAACACAGTTCTCAGAACTTCAGTATGAACATTTCAAAGGACACCTGGTTATAGGAGAGGAATAAAACTCAACCTACAGTCCAAGCAGGCAGCCTCAAAGAAACTTACCTGTGCTAACCACAGAATTCCAGAGAATTACAAGATATGTGTTTGTATCACAGAATTACAAGATATGTGTTTATTTTAAACAATATGATTCTGGTATTTTGTATTGTAATAGGGACTTAAGTTTACTCTACAAAGATTGATTTTGAATTCTTTATGGAAAAGGACTTGAACATTTTAATTTTTTTAACGCTAAGATGGTGAAAAGTTTAAATGCATTGCACAGACATGTGCCCTGCAAACAAAAAAAAAGATCTAGGTGGTCTCAGTGACATTCCAAACACTGCTATGTATCTTATTTCTTATTTCTTCTCCACATTCATCTCCTTATCCTGTAAAAACAGATCTACAAAACACATAATCACTACCAGCATCTTCTGCAGCTGTCAAAGTAGGGGAAAGAAAATTAGAAAAGAAAAAAAATGAAAGGAGATGTAGTGTCTACAGTAGGGAAATTAGGAACGTGGGACTGGGCAAAATTGTCTCTGGGCAACTCGAGGCCATCACATAATTAACTTGCTTTCATGAACTGATCAAAAAACAAATTAAGGTGACTGCTCATCAGGTGACACTGGGGATTAGAGATGCCCATTTCTGCCTTCTTGGCCCTTACCACATGGATGCCGTAGCCATAGGGCACAATAACTTGTCAGATTCTCAGCTGTACCATTACTTTCAGGATGTTACATCTATACACAATTTGATCTATGATTCAGATCATGCAGTTAGTACAGCAAACAAAATCTCATCACAAATGATGTGGCTTTTGCAACCCCTGACCTGACCAAGAACTTATCCATAAGCAATTACCACCAGGGGAGGAAGCAGACCCACTCTAAGCTTGGCACAACAAGCCAACTGCTCACAGAAGGCAAATTTCATTTTGGATGGAATTAAGAAAAGAAACATAGTTTGTATTTCTTCATTTCCCACTGTCAGCTGTCAGCTGTGCCTTGCGGAAATGAGTAACAATTTACCATGCCGGGCACTAGAGATCTTAGTAGGCTGTGAAGTAGTTTTCATCGAGCCTTCTGGTGGTTCTGCACAGTGCTGGAAGGTCACTTGGCACTTGAGATCGTCTGGCTCAGCTCTGCCGTTCTGCTCATGAAAAAGATGTTAGCTGCATATTAGGTGCAAATCATCCTTAGTAAAGTAAAAGTAATGCAGCAGATAATTGTGTCTGTTTTCTGTTCAGATACGTTTGAGAGGGAAGGGACCTGTGCTTATAGCCATCTCCTTTCACTACATAAAAGAATAAGAAAACAAAGAGCTTTACCACCAATGACGAAGGGGCAGGAGGAAAACAGATTCAGATTTGAAAGCTGATTTGAACAGCTGAAAAATGTAACACCTTTTTGCTTTTTATGAAAGAATATGAGGGCTGCCTTTCAGCATCCAGTGTAAATTCAGACAATTCAACGCACTGCTTTGATCACAAATAAAATGCAATGGTAGGAATGCTTACAACCACAGTTTGGAAGTTTATTACAGTGTCTGATAATTTTCCAAAACCTCTGCATATTTCTAGATTTCTGAGAGTGAGGAAAATTGCAGAGTGACAGAGCAGCCGATGTTATCACCTTGTGAAAGCACATCCCGCGTTGCATAACAACCCTTTGTACACTGCCTATTTCAAAACCTCACGGAAGAACCTTACAAACTTAACTTCTGCTCGGTACACAAACCTGGGCGTCTCCTGGAGATACGCAAGTCACTTTTTTTGGAGTGCATTTATTCCAGCAAAATCTCTTATAAAAAAATGTAATCCAAAATGATAAATCATTCAGAACAATAAAATCACTTGCAAGAACAAACACAGCTTCTATTGGTAACTGTTCGTGCCTGCCCTGGGCATGCTTGCTACGTATGCTAAGTGACAATGCTTGTGGCTACCATTCCCAATATCGTATCTTCCTTTCCCAATTTACACTTATTCAAAGCAATGCTTATTCAACGATAGTTGCATAAGATGCATTTCAAGCGTCCATTATCAACCTCTCAAAAACAATAAACCACATCAAATTAGCCACTGACGTGCTTTGTACTAGCAAAGCAATTTGCAGATCCTTCACAAAATATTAGCACAATTACTTGACAGCATCACGGCCACTCTTTCTGACATTGCTGCACACAAGGGCTTGGTCACATGAACTCACAGTTGCTCTCATGTAAAGGAGAGATCTTTGGGCAAAAAAACAAGCTCATTTGCATTAATTTCCCCTCATTTCTGGGAAGTGAAGCACACATTCATCTGATTGAACATCAGGAGACATCACAGAGGCAATATTAGCAATAGCTGGGACCACAGGTTTCCACTGGCGATGTCCATCACTCCCTACTGACTGTGCCATTGGTTCAACTGACCCGTTCCACTTGCTAAGCTGCCAGCGTTTCCACTCACTGACTGCCTTCAGGATAGGCCCCTTCCATCAGTCACTGAGAGCAGAGAATGTTGCTTTCCGTACTATTTTTGATTTTCCTCTTTAACAACCTTCTCTGTAGGACATGCTGCTTCTCAGTGGAGCCCTCTCCACATCTAACCAGTGCTGTACCAAGTTACTAAAAAGAAAATTCAGTCCATAATTTAGCTTGAAAGATAATGGCAACAAATCAGTATTACAAATAATTTACTTTCCCATTAACATCGATTTCATTATTACAATATATGTTTCTTCCTATTGCCTTTTCCACATCTTCGAAATAGCCATTTTCACTTCACCACACTTACTGAGAATTTGCAGCAAGCAGGAGATGTTCAGCACTCCCAACGATAATGGCAGCCAACATCAGATACGACGAGCTCACGCAGTGTGCTGCTGCAGTCTGCATGCCTCATTCTCCTACTAGCAGGTAGGTTCTACCACCCTGCCAACTCTGAAAGGGTTTTTTTCTGGCTGACCGTTGCCTTTGGTGAACAATATTCCATATTCTGTTGTGTATGGCCACCACGAAGAGATGATCGAAGTGTAACAGCATGCTCTGAGGAACAGCTGCTGAATGTCAAAGCAGTACCTGCTCACTCTGCAAAGCCTGTCATCAGTGTCAGCAACACAGCAGCCACTGCTCTGTCCTCTCAGCGGCATTAAATGATCAAAACTCAAACCAGAAGGGCTGAGACATCAGCAGGGGTGGCACGCGGAGCAGAAGGATCAGCAGACAATGTACACAAGCATTAGAAAAGATATTCTAAGGCCACAAAAGCTTCTCTACCAAAATGCTACCAAGACAAATAAATTTAGTCTATTACAGCTGTTTCTGTTGTGTTGAAATAGACTTGAGAAAAATTCCCCACATTGCACTGGATTCCAGTTTAAGCATGAACTCACTGTAA